TCAAATTTGGTTTATGTTGCCGACCCCACTTATGGGATTTTGATTGATTGATTGATAGATGTCAAATCTTAAAAATAAAAAAAAAATAAAAAAAAATCTAAATATACGCATGCTCACTTGCAATTCATGACAGGCTGACAGCAATGCAAGGGAAAACGTCAATCCAAAATTGTTATCAAATCATGTCTTGGTTTTCAGAAAAAGTACAAGTAAATCACCAACATTTAACCCCACTGAAAATCAAATCACCTAGAGAAAAACAAATCTTCAAAATATATCATCCACCAACTATGATTTTTCTTACTCTGTGGTTAGAATTGCACATTTTTGTTAAAGACTGTAAAAAGTAAAAACTATTTACAACAAAAATCTAAATTCAGAGTTTCAGACAACTAAACCAAATAGAAACAAGCTTTGAATGGAGTTTCATCACAACCCCATCAAGCTCTCGGTTGAAGCCGCCACAGGCGTGCTTGCATTCATACTAGTCCAGTAGTCCTTTATTGCCTAGTAAGATGGAAAAAGGAACGATAACAATACCAAATTTAATCCACCGGAACCATCTGGTTCATGGACTATTATTGGCCATCTACCACTTCTAGGAAAACTTCCTCATGTAACCTTTGGAAAACTTCACATGGTTGTTAGTACAGCAGAGACGGCTAAAGAGTGCTATGGTACGGATGATAAGGTATTATTAAGCCGGCCTAAGAAACTTTTTGTTGAACATTTAGGTTAAAATCAAATAAAGAAAAAAAAAATGAGAAGTCATTTTCATGAAAACATTTTACACCAAACCAAATGGGGTCTAAAACGAGTTATAAAATTAAGCCGAGCCATGTTGAAATATGACTCTACAAGCCTCGTGGTCATCAAACTATCAAACTTCCGATTGGCAAGAAATAGATATTAACACAATTCATTAAAGTTATTGAAATAGCACATTTTAAATGTATTAACAATATATTACTAGTACTCACTCAGCTTTATTTAATTTAGTAATTTACCCGTTCACTCTGCACTATTCACATACCTCTACTTTGGTAAATATTGGTAAATTATACATAACGTAAAAAATAGTCATTATCATTTCTTATACTGTTATACAATCGCCTTAATATATAATATTTTTAAAATTTACCTTTCTCTTTGTTAAATAAGAGGGATATCAAAGGTAATAATATGAATAAAGAAAAAGAAAACAGTGAACATAACTATAGTAATCAATCCTTTTCTAGCTTATTCGCCCAGGCTACAGTTTGACACATTTTTTTTGCTGTAAAAACAAGTGGAAACGAAAGTCCAACGCCAATAATTTAGTTTTGGAGTTTTTTTCAAAGAAGGCAAAATTTAGCAGAGTTAAAGAATCCCATATAATATGAAGAATCCTATCACAGAACTATCTTGCTGAAGTTTTAAAAAATAAACTTTAGAAACACAAATCTCAGTTCACCACCACAAAAAGCTGTGAAAAAGAATGGAATTTAAGTTTCGACTACCAATTCAGCTCTCGGCTGAAGCTACAAGCCTGCTTGCCGTATTACTTATTCTCTACTGCCTGTTTCGACGAAAAAAGAGAAGTGACACCAATGAGAAACCTCCCATGCCAGCTGGTTCATGGCCTATTATTGGTCATCTACATATTCTAGGAAAGCTTCCTCATATAACCTTGGGAAACTAGCAGATAAATATGGTCAAGTCTTTATGATTAAGCTTGGTGTCAACCGAGCTTTGGTTGTAAGCACGGCAGAGATGGTGAAAGAGTGCTTTGGTGGCACCAATGACAAAGTATTCTTAAACCGTCCTCACACAATCTTTGTAGAGTGTATGGGTTACAATGGTGTCATGTTGGACTTAAGCAAATATGGCCAATACTGGCGTGAGATGCGTAAGATTACCACTGTCGAGCTATTGTCTTCCCATCGGGTAGAGATGCTTAAACATGTCAGGATATCTGAGATAAGATGGGCGATGAAGAGTTTATCAGTTGGTAGCTCTGAATTAACTGACATGAAAAAATGGTTTAAATATATAAGCATGAACCATATTGTAAGATTAGTCTCAGGCAAGTCATTGAAGGAATTTTACCAAGAAGAGGAATATGATAGGTGTGTAAAGGCATTCAGGGATTCTTCGATATGGCAGGTGCATTCGTCCCTGCTGATGCACTGCCCTTCCTGAGGCGGTTTGATATTGGAGGGTACGAGAAAACAATGAAGAATGCAGCAAAAAAGATTGATCATATAGTTCAAAGGTGGTTGGATGAACATAAAGAAAGAAACTCTAAAGAGGCACAAGGAAAGCTGGACTTCTTGGATGTGATGCTTGGTATTTTCGAGTCTGGACAAGAAAAGCCTTCCAAGTATGAAACAGATGCAATCATCAAATCCACTTGCTCGGTAAGAACTTTTATGTATGCATTAAATTTGATTTATCAATTAATCAAACAATCAAAGCCTTAATCCCATAAGTGGGGTCGGCTACATGAACCAAATTGATTTCTATATCATGAAATATCAGTGCTTGATAAATGTTTGAAAATTTTATGACAAAAGCAAACAAATATGACACTGAAAACATGTTTTCATGATAGCTTTTTTCTAATCTGAGGTCATTTTAGTTATGAACTAAGCTATAATAGCCACTAATTGAACTTATTTTCCATTGGGAAAAAGAGCTAGTCTTATACAGTTGTTAGTAGTTGTAACAGGTCATTGATAAAAATGAACTAATATCAAAACAAAGTGATATTAGAGCTAATCCATACATTACTAACCAAGAAATACTGCTTAATGTCAGAAATAATAATAACTAGTGAGATAGTAATGGGCCATTCCTAGCCCTCTTTTGTATCGTTGGCTTAACCCTCTGCCCCTCTTTAATAAATTCCATCAAATTTATAGCTCTTTAATTGTCGATAAATTTTAAAACATTTAACATTTTCTTTGTACTTAAAACTTGGAAGGCAATGATCTTAGCAGCAACAGACACCACAGCAATAACCTTGACATGGGCATTATCATTGCTACTCAACAATAAAGATATCCTGAAGAAAACTCAAGTTGAACTCGACACGATAGTTGGAAAAGAAAGGCAGGTGGAAGAATCAGACCTCAAGAATTTGGTCTACTTGCAAGCAGTTCTCGAGGAGGCTATGAGACTATACCCTGCTGCACCTCTGTCAGTTGCTCGGGAAGCTATTTCAGATTGTATCGTGGGTGGTTACAAAATTCCAGCTGGGACACAACTCTTTGTCAATCTTTACAAGATACACAGAGATCCACAAGTGTGGGAAGACCCATTGGAATTTCGTCCTGAAAGGTTTCTCACAACTCACAAAGACTATGATGTTCGAGGCCAAAGTTTTGGATTTATGCCTTTTGGAAGTGGAAGGAGGATATGTCCTGGTATATCTTTTGCCCTTCCGGTCCTGCAGTTTACACTAGCGAATTTACTCCATGGATTTGACATCTCAACTCCATTGGGTGAAACTGTTGACATGACTGAAGGTTCTGGACTAACCAACCTCAAAACTACACCACTCGAGGTCATCCTCACCCATCGCCTTCCTTCCAACCTCTACTAAGGTTGCTCATTAATCTACATTCGCATACCACTTTGTATGTCCTGCACTACTATGTATTAATATGGACAATTTATGTTTTAAATTTTACTACTCTACAATTTATGTTTTACATTAAGCTGCATATTTTGGTATTTTGAAGGTGGCATACCTTCTTATAAAATCTGAGGAGCTTTTTGAAAAGAAAAAAAAAAGCTTATTTGAGGAGCTTTTTTCAATTAGCTTACAGTATTCAATTCTTATAGTGAAATGACATTTATACCCCCATTTAATTAAAAATTCTATATGAATTACCTACCCCATAATAAACAATTAGCTATTTACCAAACACTTTTCTACAATAAGCTAATAAAATAAATTAGTCAAAATCAGTTAATACAATCAGTTAGTTAAATCAGCTAACATAATTAGCTTTCACCTTTTCCCCAAACACGGCAATAGTATTTTCAAGTGGAAAGGTAAAACCGCTACAGCCTAGGGGCGTTAATAGATTGGGGGTAAAATATCTATGTTACATATATGTTAATTACAAAACTATGGAGCGATTTCCGTAGATAATGCTAAAATAAAAAATAATTCCGTGCATATGTTGCTGTAAAAAATATTTCCCACTATACATTCCACGTAGGCTTGAGTTTTTGGTTCGTTTTTTGCTAGTAATAAACCGCTAATAACGATTGCGGTTATACACAAATTAGAACCGCTAATAGTATTAGAGGTTCTTTAAGTATTTGATGAACCTGTAATGGTTATTGGTTCTTTAAATAGAACCTCTAATGGTATTAGCGGTTCTATTTGAAGAACCTCTACTATCATTAGCGGTTCTATTTGAAGAACCTCTAATACCATTAGCGGTTCTATTTGAAGAACCTCTAATACCATTGGCGGTTCCATTTGAAGATCCTGTAATGGTTAAAGGTTCTTTAAATTAGAACCGCTAATGGAATTAGCGGTTCTTTTTTATAGCCTCGAATTTTACAAACCTTCACTAAGCCTATGTGTACGGTATCACCACTAGTGGAAAAAACGCTATTAGCAACTAGCAAAAAGTGGCTTTTAGCAACTGGCGCGTGGGGCTGCTATTGCGGGGGCTACTAATGAGAATATTATTCACAACTGGCGCTTGTTCGTTGCTAATAGTCATTATTTGCAACCGGCGTAAAGCTAGGCCAGCTGCTAATAGTATTTATTCTCAGCTGGCATTGTACTAGGCCGGCTGCTAAAAGTGGTTATTTGCAGTTGGCGTAATACTAGGCCAGTTGCTAATAGTGGTTATTTGCAGCTGGCGTAGTATTAGGCTAGCTGCTAATAGTCTTTATTTTAGAATAAAAAAAAAGACTATTAGCAGCTGGCTAAGGACTACGCCAGTTGCAAATAGTCATTTCTTTAAATAAAAAAAAAATTACAATTTTTCCAATATGATATACAAACTATATTAAATATTGTTTTAACAAATTTTTTGTTAGTTGTAAAGTATACATTAAATACAAATTCAAAACTTAATTACAAGCTAAGGCTGCTAACAGGCTTCTAAATTACAAATTAAAAACTAAAGTTTTTGTTAGTTATGAAGTATACTGCAAAAAATATGCAAGTTCGCCCAATCGACGAAAGGAGAAAGAGCATCAGCACCAATAACTAACACATTCTGTAATCCACCACCTGCATTTTATAAAGCAAACAATTAAATTTTTTATTTTAGAGATTAAAGGATACAGAAACTTCTTGAGAGTAAAGATAACAAAGTCAATATCCCTTACCTTAAGTGCAAAGGGGCAAACACGCATCAGCAACCTAGTGACACAAGCACCAGTCAATGCCCCTTACCATTGTAGCAACCTAGTGACACAAGCACCATTGACCTAGTGTATAAAAACAAATATAATGAGAAGATTGAGGATAAGATGACCTCTTACAACAACTCAATACAAATAGACCACAAATAGAGACAATTTCACAACTAAACCAAAAGGAGTTCTCTTACGCTCTAAGACAACAAACCAATAAATTATGATCCACCCGTTGTTATAAATTTTAGAACACTTAAAAGTCCAAACCAAATATTTTATTGGATTCCTTTCTGAGTTTACATCTGCATATAAACAAGCCCTTAGAATGCACATCCCACATGGTATGCAGATATATACACGAAAGTGCTTTGAGCGCGTAAGTGTATATGCATGTGTGAGCAAGGGAAAATAAGGAAATTACTGTTGTAGTTCAAGAGCTTTTCAATCAAATCAACATGGGTCATGAGCATCCTCCTGCAATAATAGCAGACAAGCCCCAGTGCATCAAGGGCATCCCTGTGCAAATGCAATGCGGTCAGCAAACTCTGTTATTTGCAATCAATACTCCGTACTATTAAAGAACTGAGTTTAAAGACTTTAAACCTCTATGGGAACTTCAAATCATGCAGGATTTTGTATAAGAAACATAAGGCAATACAAGGATATTGTCAAATCACAAGACTACATGAAGCCTATATGATTATATCAACAATCATGTCTCTAAGTTCACCTCTCCCCAATATCCCAAGACAGATACAAAGAGATAAATATGTTCTTTGGGCTCTTCCAATTTTCCAGGCCTTCTTAGTATACTCATACAAGCAACTAAGCAAGCGAACCTTAACTTGGTAAACCAACAAGACTATGTTAGTACATTAAACAATTATTACATTTTCAAGCCTCGGTCTCTCCAAAACATGTAATATACGCACATTTGGAAAACAAGGGGTTGCTAATCAAGGAAAGAATGATTTGAAAGTGGTAAAATTGCAACCACCAAAGAAAACTTACAAGATGATGTCCTGATATTAGATAGTCATACTATATAATAGTGGAAAAAATAGTTCATCAGAAGCAAGGAGGTTATTGACTAGTATTTCATCCAAAATTCAGGATTCAGCTCTTATCTAGTAAGACCGGAATCAGCTTCTTCACTATACCTATATTCTAACGAGATTTTTATGACAATCCGGTTACATTGCACGCCCCAATTCGAATTTGGAGCCAAAGAGTTGAACGATAACAACAAAGCAAAAAAAAAAAAAAAAAAGCAGCATTCTTTCACACATGATTCCATCAGTAAAAGGTTAATTAGTCGAACAAGTAGCCCAGCTAACCTTAAGTTCAAGTTGCAATTACCAATAACAAAGTCATATACAAAGTATGATAAAGTACACCACTAACCTTCAAGTTTAGTCAAAGGATGCTCAACCTAGCTCTGGAAATGGCTCTCATTCAATTCTGTTAGAGCGCTACTGGACATGCATTCGGTTGTTGCTTAACCACATCATCCTCAAATTCCATAATTAAATCCCCATAACTAGAGATACCAGATGTGTCCTGCAACCCAATTTTACCAATTAAATCAAATACAACATCAAGAATTATCAAAAGTTAAAAAATCCCAAAATATATCAACTAAGCAATAGCAATAATTCCAATAAAAGCAAAGAAACCAAATTCTGAAAAATTCAATAGTAGAACAGCCCAAATTCGACTCAACAAAAGGCAATAGAAATAATCCCAAAATATTCATGCAGCAGATTGAAATGCCTAATTTGAAGAATGAAATTATGCAATTAATCAACAAAAGGCTAGTTATTTTATAACAGACCTGACCTCAAAACAACGAAATTTAATAAAACAAAATATCGAATACCTTAGGATTTTGAGTAGCAACACATCGAAAGATTTAGGGTTTGACATCAAATCTTTCATAAAAACAACATGAATTGAAAGAAAAAACGATATATCTAAAAGAGAAAGCAAGAAATATCTAAGTTCAGAGCTCCCAAGAAGAATTTTTTACCATAAATACCACAAACAACTTGGACTTCATCGGAAAACACCAGCGAATTCAACATCAATATGCTCAAAACACCAGCGAATTCAACATCAATACCTCAAAAAATTCAACCCCAAAACCTACAAATTCGACCACTAGTCAAACACCCTAACAAATCCGAGCCAAAACCCCCTATATTCGAGCAAATCTGAGCCAAAACCCCCTATTTTCGAGCAAAAAATCGACCCAAAAACCGCAAAAAATTCGAACTACAAAAATCGCAAAAAATCGAGCAAAACTACCCTAAATTCGAGGTTAGGGTTTATTAGGGGAGGCAAATTTGAAAATTAGAGTAGTGTTTAATTAGAATCTTCTAGCATTGGAGGAGAGGGATAACAATGGAGGCAAGGGATGAGGAGAGAGAATGTGGGGTTTTCAATACAGAGTATTTTAGAAGAGAGAAAAGCAAGTGGGTCAATTTAGATTTTAGAACTTCGTTCTCTTCTTTTAGCAGCTGGCCTTTCAAGGTCAGTTACAAATATTTGGTCAATTTTTAGTTAACCTAGTATTTGTAGCGGTCATTTAAAAGGTCAGTTGCGAATAAATATTATAATTTATTAAAATAATTGCTGTTAGCAGCAGACATTGTTAAGCCAGCTGCAAATGCTATAGTATTTGTAGCTAACATCAAATAAGCCAGTTGCGAATAGGTATTTTTACTATTTCAAACCAAGTATTAGCAGCGTTCATTACTACGCCAGTTGCTAATGACATAGTATTTGTAACTGACATTATTTTGGCCAATTGCAATTAGTGTTTTAGTAACTAACACGTATAACTTCAGTTGCTAATAGGGTGTTGCTAATAGCAATTTTTCCACTAGTGCACGGGGAATAGTTATAAAACTGACAAATATTCGGAATTAATTTTTTTTTTAGCATTATGTATGGTAATCGCTCCAAAACTATGCAAATTTAATGATTGTTTATCAACCATCCTAATTAATAAAGCCCTCAAAAACTGACCCGACACGAAAAATTTACCCGAATCCGATTATGAACCGACCTGTTTGAACTCGGAAAAATAGTGAGTCAAACCCGATATGACCCGACCTGAAACCAACCCTAGACCAGAGTTAATCCGAGTATTTAATTTGAGACCCGAAAACGAACATGAACCAATGTGAAGATGACCAAACCTGAATATAACCAATAAATTATTGACCTGAACCGAATTTGACCTGAAGCAAGATTGACCCAAAACTATTTTAACTCGTCAAAACCCAAATATAACCAGTAAATTATTAACCTGAAGCGAGATTAACCCAAAACTATTTTAACTCGTCAAAACCCAAATATAATCCGGCCCGTTACTAACCTGACCTGAATTCAACCTGACCTTGTTACTAACCCAACCTAAATTCAACTCGATCGATCTATTACTAACCTGACCCGAAAATGAACTTGACTTGTTAATAAAATAGAGTATGAACTTATCTTAGCTATTTTTCTACAATAAGCGGAAATAATGTGAATATAATAGAGTATGAACTTATCTTAGCTTATTTAAACTAAACTTATCTTATCTGAATCTATATAAGTTTAATATATGGAGTATTATCTAAATTTATTTGTAATTATTAACTTGAATTTAAACTAGCCTGAAATTATTTACACTAAAATAAGCATGAATAATAATAATAATAATAATAATAATAATAATAATAATAATAATAATAATAATAATAATAATAATAATAATAATAATAATAATGTGAATACAATAGAGTGTCTAAATTTATCTTAGCTTATTACACTAAACTTTTTATCTTATCCAAATATATATGATCATAACTGAACCCGATGATAATTTGACCGGAATAATTTACCCGAACCTGATCAAATACATGGAGCTGTCAAAAGCTGACCTGAACCAAAAATTTACCCAAAGGCCAAACCCGATTATGGTGACCCGATCCCGATATGACCCAATCTGAAAGTCTGAAACCAACCCTGAACCCAAGTTAAAACAAGTATGTAAGACCCGCATCCGAACATGAAATGACCAAATCTGAAACCAACCCGAGATCTGAGTTAACCCAAGGTTTTAATATCAGAACTGAACGTGACCCGACCTGAACCTAAGAATGACCCTTACTCGTTATAACCTGTTGAAACCCAAATTTAACTCGATCCGTTACTAACCTGACCCAAATTCAACCCGACCTGAATCAACCTAAACTCGATAGGATGTATGATCTAGTGTGACCCGACCCTAACCCACATATGTAATGTTATTAACCCGAATTAACCTGACCTGAGTTGACCCTTCCAAAATTGGCCCGACTCAAACTCAATTTGAGATACTCGAATTGACCGCTCTACTAATTATTGGGGGCTTCCTATTGATGAACAATGCTAGTAATGCCATAAACTTTTTTAAAATCAGTAAAAAGTTGGCTCAAGTGGTAAACAACTCAAGGGATTACTACTCATTTTAAATCCGTTTATAAATATTGGTAATGAGAATGAATTTAGTGAAATTTGATATCCAAAGTTCTAAAAACTCGCTGTCACTTAAGGCAGTTATAAGGTTTGTACCTCATCGTATGAAAAAATTCTTATTGGAAAACTCATCTATCATAGGCCAAATGTGCGACCCGGATCGAATTCAAATGTAGTCGGAGATAAACTTCAATGAATGTAGTTGGGTGGGCATCCTTAGAAATAAAAAATAAAAATAAAAATAAAAAAATCTCAATTTACTCCTTTGACAACTACTTACTCCCTCCGTGTTTTTTTAAGTGTTACACTTTGACCACCACATAGTTTTAGACAATTTAATTGACTTAAATATAATAAGAGCTAAGTGGGGTAGTTGGAGTATTAAAAAATTATAAAAGAAAGATAGTGGGGTTAATTAATAGTTTATTGAAAAGTAATGAATGTGGGAGGAAAGATATACTTCCTCCGTTTTCTTTTAAATGCAACACACCCTTTAGCTCGATAATTAAGAAAGGTGGGGTTTACATGATATAATAAACTTTAAAATAGGATGAGTGGTTTTTATGAGTGTAATTTAGTGGGCCATGCGCTTTAAATAAGGGAAATAGTATAGTTTTTCTTTAAAAGTAACTTTCCTTTTATAGTGTGTTGCAAGTATTGTGACATTTCCTTTATAGGGAAGTGTTGCAAGTAAAAGAAAACGGAGGAAGTAATAAAAAAGTAGTAGCGGGTTTGGGTGGGGACCATGAGAGAAGAGAGATATAATATTTTAATGTACCTTTTTGCCAAAAAAGGAAGTGTAACACTTAAAAATCAATTCCCATAATATTGTTGAAATAAAAATCAATTCCCATAATACATTGATTTAAAAATAAATTCCCTACATAGTGTCCACGAAGGATCGGTTTTTTTGCTTTTGGTTCAACTTAAAACCGCTAATGGTAATAGCGGTTGTATTTTAAAAGCCGCTATTATCATTAGCGGTTTTAAAAAAGAGACCGCCTCTAACAATAACAGGTCTCTTTGCGTCCTTGGTTAATTCACAAGGCTTAGTCTGAAGGAAGATTATTTCAAAGAGACCGCATTTCAATAAGACAGGTCTCTTTGCGTCCTTGTTAATTCTTAGCCCCCCAGCAAGAAAAGAGAGCGCTGAAAATTACACTTATAAGTTCAAAGAGACCACCTTTCAATAAAAACAGGACTCTTTGACTTTATTTTAAAAATTTGCAAAACCGCTAATACCGTTAGCGGTTTTAAGTTGAACCGAAAACCAATCCTACGTGGACACTACCATACTTTGGGAATTTGTTTTTGAAAAGAAGCATAATGGGAATTGTAGGGAATAATTTCAAGCATTTAAAAATCCACTAGCTTGAACCCCACTGTGACCATACACTAAAGTACGGTGGCGTCCAAAAGGGAAGAAGATAGAGCAAAAGAGTCGCCAACAAGTTTTTAAGGAACTTGTAAACCGTTCACGAGGATGAAGGTTACACCCCTTAACGATCCAAGAGATCGTCAACTCCATAAGGTCATGAACCAAATAAGGGTTCGGGGATGAAGGTACAAATCCAACCTAAAAGAGATTGAACCTGCCCTAATAATAGGCCTCTACTTTATTCTGCTCGTATTCATGTGCACTTTCTGACTAACATACAATCAATAGGATTAACCCTAAACCTGTTTAATCTATGTTGGTTGAATTTAATGCACAAACAAACTATTATTGGCGATCACTTGAATTTATAATCACAATTAACCTAACAAGATTATTGATTATCTTATTAAGCGTGATTGCAAATACCAAGTTCCCTTTAAACATGCAATAAAAGGTGATCAAGCAATAACAATATATAAACTAAGCAACATAACAAATAATCAATAATAAAAAATCATAAATATTAGAGAGAATATAGGAAGCATTATACTTTTAATCATACTTGATCTTAAAGTTACCCTAGACATGATACCAGGAATCAAAATAACAATCTAAGCATGATATCTACATCATAATATCAATTAATCTTTAAAGTACTTACTTGGATGCCTCGTACCTCTTTCTAATAACAAAATACACACGTTAGTAAATTCAAGGAAAATAATAATCAAACAATTAAATTAAATAATTGAAAGAGAGATTTGGGACCAAACCCTCAGAAATTAAACCTTTCACGTCTAGGGCGAAGGCAACTTCGAATATGGCTAGGTGTTTCTAGATCTCGTGAATACGGAAATTTGTATTAAAAAGCAAAGAAAAGAAAGAATGAATGAATTAATATTATTGAAAATTGATGAATGAAAGATGTAGATGAAAAGAATCGATGAACGATTTGTGAATGAAGAGAGTTGATTATTAGTAATTGATGATGAAAACGGAGTTTTTGATACGATATTTATAGAGAAAAACATCCAAAAGAGATAATTTATCAAAACAGAGCCTGAAGATCCCAAAACTAACTTGGCGCCAGCCTTGGCTCATTGGCGCCAGGACCAGTGGCTAGCGCCAGGCGCTAATGGCTGGCGTCTGGCGCCAATCCTGATTCCAGGCGCCAAGGCCTGGGGTTGGACGCCAAATCGGCTTTCAACACGTTTTCGAAAATCTGATAAAATTCCCGTACTGGAAGATAAAATAATATAATTTCGGTCGAAAATGCTATTTGATCTAATTAAAACTTTGAAGAATCCTAATTGAATTAAGAATGATAAGACCTTCTAGAATGTTCTAGAATACTAAAACCATTCCTAATTGCATTAGGAATGATAAATCATATTAGGCCCTCCCCTAGATCATTGGGCCGTACTTAAAGCTCAAACCGGGCCCAGTTTAGTAAATTGGCCATAACTTCCTCAATATTCATCGGAATTGGGCTTATAATATATCGTTGGAAAGGTCTTTGCAAACCCCATCCAACTACACCACTATTGGACCCATATCATGGACCAACCAAACTGAATTGGCTGTTTTCTTAAAATAAAGTTTTCAAAAACAGAGAGAAGAGAAAAGAATTAAAACTTTCCGCAACACTAGACCTTTCCACACTTTCGTTTCATTCGATTATGATTCGACGTGAAAGGTACTCATCACTGGGTTTGGTTTTGGGGAGACACAAATGGGTGTCTACAGAAGCCCCCACTTTGACTGAGTTTGGAGAAACGCAAGTTTCGAAAACGAAAGTCAAAGTACCTATAGGGACAGAGAATGATTCAGAACGTTCTGCGATCCTAAATCACTCTTGTAACGCCGATACCTACAAAACAATGTTAGTTAAACAGATAAAAGAGTTAAGAAACGCGTATCTTGCACCGTCGAGCACACGTATCTGAAAGTAACCGATTGTTTTGATGACCTCCTGCAAGCTAGAGAATGTCATTCCGCTTGAAAACCGCTACGCCTCGTAACTGCTTCCAAATTAGAAGACTGCTTCGCCGGAAACTATCCTCCTCTGCTGTGATAATATTCCACGTCCAAGGGAATATCATCAAAAATTATTTCTCTTGAAATAATTCTTAGTTTTTTTTTTTGTGATAACCCTCCACAATCTAGGGAACGCCATCTTGCTATTTGTTTTGACGATCTTCCGCAATCTAGGGAACGCCGTCGATCAATGTTGCTACATCTTGAGCCTTTTCTTGAATCATAGTGACAACCTTTCCAATTATAGCAAAAGTCGTCGAAGACTGCCCATCTCGTGCTATCTTCTCAAATCTCGGGTGACAACCTCCACAATCTTAGCGAATGCCGTCGAAGACCGCCTATCTCGTGCTATCTTCTCAAATCTTTGGTGACAACCTCCACAATCTTAGCGAATGCTGTCGAACACCGCCCATCTCGCGCTATCTTCTCAAATCATTGGTGACAACTTCCACAATCTTAGCGAATGCCGTCGAAGACCGCCCATCTCGTGCTATCTTCTTAAATCTTTGGTGACAACTTCCACAATCTTAGCGAACGCTGTCGAAAATAACTTTACTTGAAGTCATCCTCAGTTGTTGCGATAATATTCCAAAGAAAATTACCGAAGACCAACACTTGTCAATCTTTAAAGCTCGCTCGAACTTTGCTTCCGCTATGCCTGTACGTCGGCGCACTACAAAAAAAATTATTTACAGAAGCAAGAAAAACATGCCTGAAATGATAGTGATGTGGCCTCTAATAACTTTTAGAGACAACAAAGTAAGTACCCTTAATAAGTCTGTCGCTAATTAATGGAATGCCCCTAAAACCTCTTTTAGAGGCAATACAATATATTGCTTTTAAAAACCCATATATTTAGAGGCAACCATATAATCTTGCCTCTAAATATAATTAGAGGCATTATAAAAGCTTGCTACAAAATACCATATATATTCAAGGGCAACCATATAATTTTGCCTCAATATATGATTTGAGGCATCATTAAAATTTGCTTCCAAATAACATATGCATTTAGGGGCAGTCATATCATTTTGTCACAAAATATAATTAGAAGCAATTTGTATATTAATGCTAATGATATTTGATGCAAATAAAAATTGACGAGAATTTTTTTTGGAGGCACAATAGTACAATACATAATATATGCCTCTAATACATACATTGGTTTTAAATTAGATATACACAATTTATTCATAGAGTATCCAATTTTATGATTAACAATGTTGATTTCATTAAATTAAACTAAAAATTTATTATTTATAATAGAATAGTCATTACATTATTGATCTAAAAAATGTAATTAAGTTATTACTAAATAACTTAGCTAGCTTCAATACAATTACATGACTTGTTATAATCATTTGATATAAAGTGAAATAATAAAGAGTTTTCATTAAAACTCTAAGCTTGAAAAAAAGACATTATTTTCTTCAATTTCTTCCAATACGATCTCTAGCCATCTTCATTGTATAATCTCCTGCCATTGTATAAGTATGGAATTAATAATTTATAACTTTGAAAAGTAAATAAAAATAACTAACTTATAAAAATAAGACAATACTTTTTATTTGAAGTCACATTGTGAGTTTCTTGCTCGAACTCAACTTCCTCATTTTCCTCGGGTACATAATCACCATCTTTCTCAAGGGAAACATTGTACTTCTGCTTACTTTTCTTAACTTTAGAACTACTTACTAAGCTTGTCAAACAGGCAGTAATGCGCTTTATGCCCAATGTCTTCATTCTAATCTTGTTAGTTTCAATTGTCTTGAGACTTTGTTGTTCATACTCATTTTGGCTTATGTAATCATACTTTGAATGTGCTTTTCCACCCGATCTAGACATATCAGCACTAAAAAAACAAAATCATATATAATTGTAAAATAAATATTAGAAATCAAAGCTTTAAAAAACTAACGATATAGGTTGCTCAAAATCAAAGTTGTGTACAATTAAATGTTGTTAAAAAAAATGCAAATACTCTTAAAAATAAGCAAATAGAATCTTAAGAAAAAAAAAAAACCAAACAAGCAAAAAAAAAACTACTTACAATATATATGTGACAATTACATAATAATATTACACCACACTATAACAATGTAAAGAAATCCATAACTACAATTAATAGACCAAACAATCAAAACATTTTAAATATAGATAATTCATAAGTGATAAAATTAAGTGCTTAACTGGTTAGTGAATTATTCAAGAATACATTGGTCATTTTTTTACCAAAAACCAAAGGCACTTAAAATAGATTAATGATAATCAGATAATAAATAAAGAACTAAGTTCAGTACTTCAGTGTGCAACCAAAGCCATTATCCTTGAACAATATTATAATAAACCATATCATGTATTCTTTTGACCTTGCTAAATCATTATTAGCCTTCACAAATTGCTAAATCCTTATATGTTGGGGCTGGGAGTATTAACTTAATGGCGTATCACGTATGATCATATCCTTGATCAAACATAATCCTTTTAAATACATGTTCTCCTATGTTTATTACTACTATTTGATATGCATAATCAACATCTGTTTCACTCTTTTCCCACACAACACATTGTTATATGTTGTTCATTCTTCTATATCTCTTCTTTATTTTTCTGACACAAATCATTAGTCAACACATATTTTCACCAAATTCAACCCTTATTATACATTTTAATATTTTTAAATAGCGTTATACATTTATCAAAACTTCCCTTATAGTATAATAGTAGATAATAAACATTGCATCAAATTGATAGATTTTATAGCATTCAATTTCAATTAGACAATCAAAGTAGTTCAATCTAAAAAATTTGAATAATAACCCTAAATTAATTCAATCTTAAAATTAAGAATACTTTAAATTCAAAATAATTAAAAATAACCAAAACAATTTACTTCTATTGATTATTGAAAATTTTAATTACCTTGGATAGTGATATGTACTCTGACCAATCAAACTCCAAATTCGATCGGCCACAAACTCCAAACGCTATTTTAATTCGTCTCCCTTCGCTCGTCTAGAGTTCAGTAAGATTGTTTTTTGAAATTGCTTAGGGTAAAATTACGGGAGGAAAATTTGATAAAGAAAGATAGACAAGGGATAAATCACCACATACGGAGTATTTCACAAAATCGGGGAGGGAATAACAGATGAAATCAAAGTAATTCCCTCTCAGTTTTTTGGGGCTAGTTTAGTTTCGCAAGTTTCCCGATTTTGAAACGAAATTCTGCCAAAATTATCATGAAGATAATCATGATAAGTGATTTTTTCTTTTTTTTTTTTAATTGTTGAAATTGAAGATATATTTGGAGGATTTGGTGGGTTGTTTTGTTCTTTTTGGAGAAATAATGGCGGAAGATACGAGAAATTCCTTTGCATTTTTTTCTTTTTTTTTTTAATTATATATGGTAAGGCTTGTTTTTTTTGGTGAAAATATATGTCAAGGCTTGTTTAGTTGTTTGTAATAAGGTTATAAAGCAATGCTCTTGCCGTACAAAAAAAATAAAAATAAAGCTATGCTCTTGTTTGTTACTGTATTTTATTTGGAATTTTATTTATTTTAATCCAAGAATAAGTTTTTAAGTTATTCAGTCAGTTAGGGTCTGTTCACATTTACTGAACTGAGCTGAACTGAACTAATTGGAGCTGAACTGAACTGAACTGAATATTTTATGAGAGAAGGAAATTGGGAGCTGAACTGAACGGATTGGAGCTGAGCTGAACTGAACTGAACTTATTAGAGCTGAACCTGAACTTCACTAAACTGAAATTAAGTAAATGTGAACAGGCCCTTAGCGCGTTTCGCAGGGGTTACTTATTCAGGGTTACTTATAGGGTTCAGTAGGTCAAGGGTTATCTATAACAGAGTTGCTCAGACGGTTACCGCGTTTTCTATGTGAGAGTTTTCCTTGACCGACCGAGTAACCCTTAAATAAGTAACCCTTAACCGAGTAAAACTTATAATACAGACAAAGTAACCCTTATTATATTGATCGAGTAACCCCTTATTATATACACTTATTAAGTGACCATTGTCACACTAATGGAGTAACCACTTATTTTACTTATTAAATAACTCTTACCACAATGACAAACTAACTCCTACCTTACTATTAATTAAGTAACCCTTATAACCATAACAAATTACCCCCTATTACACTAACCGAGTAATTCAGGGTGGATGGTCATATAGTATGACAAGTTACATACAAAAGTTAGGGTTTGTTCAGTTCACCTTATTTTCACTTATTTCAGGTGTAATAACTTCAGATAAGTTCTGTTCAGGTTTAAGGTTTACCTCAAGTACAAATTACAATTAAAATTAGTTTTAATAAGCTAGGTCTAATAAGTTCAGATAAGTTAAGATCAGTGAAAACCAGGTGAATAGAACACACCCTTATTATTTATAAAATAAGTTGCTATCAACTTAAATAGTATAATGTAAAGTGAAAATAGCCAATGTGTATAATTTGTGCACAAAATATGAAATATAGGTATTAGATTATAACATTACATTCGTAGTATTCGGAAAACTAATGTAAACTTTACACTACTTAAATATACCATGACTTAGGGCATGTTCACATTTACTGAACTTATCTGAACCGATTGGAGATGAACTGAACTAAACTGAACTGAGCTGAAATAAATATTTTATGAGAGAAGGAAATTAGCAGCTGAACTGAACTGATTGGAGCTGAACTCAACGGAACTGAACTGATTGGAGTTGAACTGAACTGAAATTAAGTAAATTTGAACAGGCCCTTATAATTACTTGAAATAAGTAGAATGGGCTAACTCTAAATTTTTTTTTCCGTATTGATTTTACATATTATCTTCATTTGTAATAATTTTAAATGTTGATATTTTATTATTTAATTTTTTTTTCAATAAAGTACTTACGACTAGAGTTTATGTTGTAAAATCGTAACATAATATACTTTTCTATTTCATTGTAATTGGAACAATTTGAATGACATTTGTGCTAAGAAGTATTTGTATCATTAGTTACTTCATCCGCATTTTTTTTATTTTCAACCAACTCCATTATTATCATAATATAATAATTTATACTATTCATCCTATTACTCCGTGCTCAAGAAAAAAAATAGAGCAAGTAATAAAATACGGAGGGAGTAGATATATGAAAGACTAATACAAAAGGATTTTACATAACATATGTCTCATATGTACTAATCAAAATTCTAGTGAATTTAAGTATGTAATTATGTAAACATTGTAATATATGACAGTCTCAATGTACTACTCAAGGTTTTTTTTTTTTTTTTTTTTTTTTTTTTTTTTTTTTTTTTTTTGGGAAATACTAACCCAAAGTCCCAAAGATACACATAATAAAAGTTTTTTTATTTATAATTGTACTCGTATGATTGTAGCGTAAAATATTCATAGAAATCAATATTTTTACACTCCTAAAAAATACAAAGGAAAAAAGAAAAAAACAAAGTTCTTTCAATTCTTTAATTAGGCGCTAATTCCACTTTCAATTGCCGCCAAAACACTAAAAATATTTAAGGTTAATCTCTTTAATAAACCTTGGGATTGATATTGCATAATCCCATGATTCACAATTGTCATTGCTCAACCCAATTGGCAAATTTCTTTGATACACCAAGAAATATTCTAATCAATTTTCTTAAAATTTTGATGAAATTGGAAATGCTTTGGTTGTCATTAGTTCTAACACAACAAAGAATAAGAAATGTAATCTGCAAAACATGCACAGGTAATATATACGGAGTAGATGATTTACTTATTACTTTTAATGGCAAAAAAACTCATAGATTTTTTTATTTTTACTTTTTTTTTTTTTTTTGCAATTTTCTGTTTCATAAGCTAACTCTAGATAACCATGTTGAACAAAATTAATTGTGTAGTTATTTTATTCAATTTGGCTTGATTTTCCTCTATACTTGATTTAATTTCGTTCCATTCTTAGAAAAAATTCACATACTCCATACCTTTTTCAATATGATGTAAGTACTTGTACCACTCTTCATAGTATTTTATTATTATTATTTTATATATATATATATATATATTAATTTGGGTCTTAGAGATAGTAAATAATGATGTTTTGTATATTCCAATTGCTTTTGCTTTTTGATCCATTTGTTTCGGTTCATTCTAAGAGATGTTGGAATAGAACTTAGGAGTTGTGTTATTTTAAATTTGTATAGTTTTATTTCATGATTGGGTTTTTTATTTTTTGTTTTGATGATTTATGAAATGATACATGAATTGAAAATAGATTTTTTTTTTGTTAGTAAGTTTTGTCGGTTAGTTTGTGCAATGGAGTATATGTATTGATTTGGTTAATTTTGTTGCAGATATGATATCAAATTGAATAATACCATTTCTTTCAGAAGATAAACATGTACCTTTGTTAAATTTCAATATTGTTAAATTAAAATTTTTAGCAATAACTTATAATCTACTAATGCTTAAGGGTAATGTAAATTTCGCAAGTACTAAAAATAATTTTTAGAGGCAACTATGATTTCACTAATTCTAAAGAGGATGTTTAGAGACAACCTTAATTCCACTAATGCTAAAAATAATATTTAGAAGATACGCAAAATTCATTCACGCTAAAAAAAAGGCATTTAGAGGCAATAATATTTTCATAATGCTGAAAATGAACATTTAGAGACAATCATAATTTCAACAACGCTAAATAGGAATTTTAGAGGCAACTTAAAACTTGATAACGCTAAAGCTAACTTTTAGAGGCAATACTAATTTCATTAATGCTAAAAAGAACATTTAGGGGCATCCTCTAATCCACTAATGCTAAAAATGACTTTTAGGGGCAACCATAGTTTAACTGATACTAAATATATCTTTAGAGGCTACCAAAAATTATTTGCCTCAAAGTTTTGCCTCTATATATAATTTTTCTTGTAGTGGCGCTTTCGTTGCTTTGAACCTATACGTCGGTGCCTTTTCTGCTTTTGAGCCAATGCCTAGGCGCTTTAAGCTAATTGAGACGATCTTTCATCAGGTCGATCACTTATTTACTTTTGGAGAGGCTTCAAACTCTGTCGCTGCTGAAATATCTCTAGCGCCAAGAATTGACTATGTTGCCGAACGCTGTGATAGGGTCTTCCCTGTTCTGCTGCACCTGTATTTATTTTGACTATAGAACTTTGCCAATCTCTTTAATCATCTTAGGGTTGACGTAAGGCTTAACGTTGCTTGACTCATTGACTTGACACGACTCAAGGTATAACTTGATTCATGTGATTGACTGACTCGAGGTTGACTCCACTCGAAGTAAAATGACACGTGTGACTCAAATCAAAGTGACATATCACGACATGACTCAATGTGTACATGACTCGTGTGTGTATTGAATGTGATCGTGCGACTCGAAAAATGCAAAAAAGCAAAAATTTTCCATCAATTTGTAGAGGGTACCGACTTTCTCCCGAAAAAGAAAGACGTGAAAAAAAAATCAAAAGTTTGAAGATGCATGTTGAATGAGCTTAGTCAAATGTTGTTCGATACTATCTATCAAGGTTGAAGGATTAATTCATCCTAGGCTATCTCAACTGTTGACTCCATGATGAAAGTATTTGGGTAACTTAGGCACGGAGGCTAAGCACTTCATACTTTGTGATGCAATGATGATTATGAGTGATGAGCGATGCATGCTTCAGCGTTAAGATTTCATGACAAAGGGTTCCTAAGGGAAATATATTTGGTCATGTATGCGTGATTTGTGTGATAGTGACACTAAAGTTAGGCCGCGAGAGCTAAGTGTGTGGAAAAATATATTAAAAAGAGTCAAATGGTGGTGACTCTTAGGCTAGGCAAGCTAATGATATAAGGATCAAGCCCCCAAGTCTAGCTCTAAATGAATAGAGATGAGCATTGGAGATCCCTTGATATGATCATGGTGCAAGTGTGTGAATGTGAATAAGAATGCATGTTTATTACGGCCGCACCTCGATGTGAGGTTGCCTACGTATCCGTTAGGAATCAGGCCGAATGTAGCTCTAGCCAAACCTCGCACAAGTGTGTATACCTCAAAAAGGTCTTTTTAAGGGTTGTAACGTGGTTAGGCTAAAGGTTTAAAGGAGAAGGGGATAAAGGCTCAAGACCCTAGATAAGCCCCCAAGGTGTGCAACCTTGCTTTTGAATACTTGTATTTTCATGCTTGAGGTTTTCTACTAATTTTTTAGCTCTTTCTTTTGTTTTAGAATCTATTTTATTTTTATAAGTGTGGGCAATCCCGATCATGCGGTCTATCACTCACTTGGCATTCATGTTTCTCAGGCACGGTACCGAGCATTCGATAAGAGACGCAATCTGAGACATGTTCTTATCGAAGATATTTTCATATCAAAGACATTGGAACACTTACCCTTTTGTACACTTGTTTTGGTTTTTTTTTTATTATTTCTTATTTTTTGCTATTGCTTTCTTTTGAATTTGCTCAAGCTCTCTTTAGAATTGCATAAGTTGCACGCCATCCCATCCCAAGGTTAGGTAGATGTAGGTTGAAAAAATAAGGGTCTATCGTTAGACGAGGTTCAAAGTGGTTTATGAAGAAAGGATGTGTAAAAATTGAAGGGTGAA